GGGGGGGGGGGGGGGGGGGGGGGGGGTGAAAAAAGAGTCACAACTGCGTCTTCTCTCTCATCATGCTGTTAAGCAATTCAATCCAGAAAGTGTACCAGCTCAAAAGCGTGTTACTATGAATCGTCTATACATGTAAAGAAATTTTTCAATTAATCTTGTGACAGAACTAAAGGATTTGAAAGACCGTCGATATTTTTCCGACTGCGCTTCTTTCGTTTACGTATGAAAGAGATAAACTCCACCCCCGTCCCGCCCCGAGGGGAAAGAGCGATATGAGCAAGTTTTCCGGGTTTTCATTACTACCAATGCCTTGTTCCCGGCTACGAGTAGTTTCTCTCTTTTTAGTCCGTCGAGCGAAACGCGCAAGACACGCCAAAAATGACCACACGCATGAATGAAGACGCGAGACGGTAGAGGCACGGAAAAAAGAGATTAACTCGAGTTCCAGGCTTTCATTATCCTTAATCACCTATTGCAACAACTGGCTAGATTACTCACTGCAAATTTGTTTTGCACTGCAACACTGAATTGAAATCGCTTTTTAACCAAGCACCGGTAGCGTTTTTCAACAAAAATTCCACTGGTTACAATTACTACTGATGTATTTTCTCCGTTTTGTTTAACTTCTGTGAATTTTCTTGATGACATTTACCACAACAATCGCCGCGTTCTCCACCGCAGTCGTCCTTGCTTTCAACGTTTGTTCCTTCTTCTTCAGAAGTCAGTTTTTCAGTTTGTAAATGTTTTCTTCTCCTACTAACAGTGGCTTGTCTGTTGACTTCGTTATTCACAGTCCACGATCCAAGACTTGCATTCGCGTAAAAGTCCATAGGGTAATCCTTTTGCCATTCAATCTGTTGCAATACAACTGACGCCTGTGAGATAGAAGTGAAAATTCGCCACTTTAGAAACGAGGAGACTGGGGCGAGTTAACTTCCGCAAAGACTTCTGGGACTGTCACTAGGGACAATTGACCGGTGCCTCACCGGTAACGATCCCAGAAACAATTGCGGGATACATTTCGGCTCCAGTCCTCTTCTCGTTTCTAAAGTGGCAAATAAGAAGTTTATCAACTCCATCAACTGCTTCATACAATTTACCACCATAAACAGATTGAAAAGCTGACGGTTTCGGGCGCTAGCTCTTCGTCAGAGCGAATCTTCTCAGTGTTCTTGTCAAGTTTTCCCTTCGTCTACATACAAATGAATTTTTCGGCGGCCATCGAAACCGCTGAAACATTTTGATACGTTATTTAAAGTGAAAAATGTGGCAAAACCCGCTGATACGACCACGAAACGTTTCAGCGAAAGGCAGCACTGAGAGGCGGCTTTATTGCAGGCTGGCCGGGTTGTGTGTTTTCATGCGGTCGAGGAAAAACCAAAACTTCTCAACATACTCGAACATTAGCCTGCGTGGTAAGCGTTTCCGTGCTGTTTCGGAGCAAAGAACGAGGAGCGAAAGTCAAAGACCGCGAGAAAAATGGCGCGAGTAAGCGGGGAGGGAGTGAGGAAGGAAGGAAGGAAACCTCTCCCCTCTTTCATTTTTTGGCTCTCGTTTCATTTCTCGCTCGGCCAAAACCGAAAATCCCGTTCCTCGCTCTTTCTTTGCTCCGAAACCAAACGCAAATGCTTGCTACGCAGGCTAACTCGAACATACGTTAACATTATAATGACCACGTGACCATCCAACCTCGTTCCCAGGATCTCTCCTGCTCTTCCCTGCCGAGCAAGGACAAGTAGACAAGTAGGAGAGAGCGAGGGAACGGGAACGAGGCAGGTGATCTCCCTTAACAATACTATATATGGCAAGTATTTGACAGCAGGAAGTCCTTAATAACTTAGTTTTTATGGGATAAAAGAGCAGGTTACGTACCTCGTAAGGAGAAAGAAGAGGTTTAGGAAACGCATATCCCCAATCAATCGATAATCTTGGACAGGCAACACCAGGAAATTGAAGGCCAAATTTCACAAGAATTGTGAAAACAAATGTAAAATTCTGAAGATTTTATGTACAAGATGTCATTTTGTGAAATTTGACATTTATTTTCTCGGGTTCTCATGAGAAATTTTCTTTGGTGCTATAGCCGTTGAAAAATGTAAAAAATTATGCAATATTGTTTAAATTATTCAGGTACAAGGTTTTTGTCCACTGAAAATTAACATTACTTAATTTCCTGGTGGATTCCGTCTTAAAATATTTTACGGGCAAGATGGCCCTCTGGCTAACCCTCTTTACGAAAAAGAGAGCTAACTTTTCACACGTCCTTACATGACGCTTACCCTTCCATGTAAACGGAATCTAAAATATAACGGCAAGAATCACATAAATTAGACCATTTTTCTTGTAATCTTCAAGAATATGTTCAGTTAAAGGTCAAAAGAACAAGGATTTTCAACTTACGCATCAACATCTTCAAACAATCGCAGTTTGTCTGGAAAAATTTCAGACATCAAAACCACCACATATTCGAGTCCAGCCTTCTTCAACATTTGCTCCAAATTCTGTAAATTTAAGTAAGTAAAAGCAAATAACATTTATCTTCTTTAGTTATTAACCACAACAAAAATTCAGAAAGCCAATTCGCGCTATCCGAGTGAGCACAGGAGGCTTGGAGCCGAGGGCGATTCTCCCGCCATGCTTGACGTCATTTTCGGACCAAAACGACTAAAAAAGAGACTTCAAAACCCATACCCTCGAGAGTGGTACATACCTACATAAAAGATAATTATAGAGGGGTGCCACCGGGGGTCGTAACAGAAAAATGGTAGTAGTAAACGCTACTATCATTTCATTCTGAGACGTGGTGATCGAAAAAAGGACTTTACGGTATTTCACTTGTTCTTCAGAGATTGTAAGAAACAATTACAATTTCTCTAGTTACCTCCAAGACCTTGGGACTCCCTTGCCTTCCTAAGGTGCTGAGAATGAGGCCAAATTTCCTGGCTTTAGACGCGGCATTTATCGCGTCTCTCCTTACTTTGAACATGGCATCGATGTCATAATATTCACGGGAAAGTACTTTACTGTAGGGATCGTATCTGACATAGAGGGAAATATGAATAAGTGAATAAATGAGTAAATAATTAAACAAAAAATAAATGAAAGGGATTGTAGTTTAAATTTGTTATCGGTTTAATTTAGCTCTTTTAATACCCTAAAAGCCTGAATTAAAGCCCCTTTAAATAAGCACCCCCCCCCCCCCCCCC